AGCAGGAAGCAAGGGAACCCAAGGAGAAAGTGGTTGCGAGCCAGCCCGTTACCAAGAACCTGTCTGCACACCCTAGCCTGTGCCTGGAGGCACATGGAGGCGAGGAGCAGGAGCACGATGACAGCAACTGCTTTCATCTTCCACTGTACGCTGGGAGCTGGGTGAGGCTGCAAGAAGCCAGGGATGCATTTATTCTCTTGGGACCCCCCCTCACGTTCCAAAATGCCCCTGGGCTTGGCAGAGTCCCCTGGCACAGGCTGAGCCTGGCAGGTAGGAGCCAGCCCCTACCTTGGCTACAGGGCATGGGAAGGAGCCAGGGATCAGGGGAAGAGCACTAAGTGCTGGGAACCCAATGGCACCGAGCCCCAAAGGGGGGAATCCTAATATCATGCAAGAATCCTAGAGTCCTATTGTCCTAGAATCACAGAAGAACTGAAGTTGGAGAAGATCTCTAAGAACATCAAGCCCAACCAAGGATGTGCCATGCCATTGTCCCCGCACCTACTCCCCAGCACCACAAGCCCGGGGCCCAGCAGGGTGACATGATGCAGATATGGTGACATGTCACAGGTTGTGGGTTTAGTGGTGGAATTGGCAGCACTGAGTTAATGGTTGGATGACCTGAGAGGTCTTTTCCAAGTTAAAAGAAGCCATGATTCCATGCTCAGCTGCTGGCTGAGCAGCCTGAGAACCTCGGACCCCATCACACTTTACGTTTCAGCATTGTACAGTTACAAAGAACTTAGTATTTCTTTTTAGGTATCATCAAACCAGCAAAGAGGGTTTTCCTGAGTGGAACCTTTAATGTGAAGTTACTACCAAGTATCACCCACCTGCTTTGCCTTTATCTTAAAAACAGTCTTCACCTCACCTAAGTGTGATGTCAGTCTGTATTTAAATACAGCAAATAACGCAGCACTGATAAGCTCCCTGACAAATGCTGCAGAGCAGAAGCAGCCCAAAGGAAACTCTTCCAGCTGATTGCTCTCTGGGCAATTTCCAAAGCAGACATTCAAGTGATCTTTTCAGAGCACAGCAGCTCTCTTATTTATGGCAAACGTCCCATAAGGCTGTGACCATCCTGCCAGACATAACACTTAAAATTAGCACACCGCTTTTCCTTGAGGAACCGTTGAGCCATTTACAGTTTTAAGCCATTTATCAGTGTTTTATTATTTCTTTTCATCTGGATAAAACAAGAGTCACTTTCTTGAAGCCATGACAGGAGGCTGGATCATCACGGGAACAAAACCAGTAGGACACCTTTTGTCCTGCTGAAACTCAGACACACAGCCCAGTGACTCCAAACCCCAACACAAATTTTTGATTGCCTGACTGCATGTCCTAAGGACAAATTGTCCTCATGGACAGAGGCAGCACTACTGCCATTTCAGATACATGATGCAGATTTCTGGATGTAACGTGGTGACTCCTAATGTTGGTTATGTAAAGAGAGCAGAAAATACATGACTGTCTCCTGATGAGACTGTAGGGGTCTTGTCACACCCAAGTGATTCCTTGACTTTACAGTTCTACGATACTGTGATTCTGTGGTTCTATGATTCCATGATTTGTTCATTCTGTGACTCTAAGACCCCACGATTCTGAGATTTCAAAGATCTAAAAGTCATGGTCTTTGGGTTTTGCAGCAATAAATGACAAGGAAACCCAGCTGCCACTGCCAGATTTTTATTCACTTCTGATCTCCTGCTTGGCAACAAGGGCGCTGAGTGGACACTGCCAGGGACGCGTGTCTTTGTTGCCCTGTATTCTGATGTCCCTGTCACCCACCTGCTTCTATGTGTCCCCCTGTCCTCATGTCGCAAAGATGTCCCCATATCACCATGATGTCCCCACTGTCCATGTCCCCACTGGCCTCTCACTTCTCAGTGTCCCCAGATGTCATGTTCCTAGGGCCCCAAGGGATCGGTCTCTCACCTTGGTGCCTCACAGGACTTGAGAGGACTCTGGCATACCTACTTGGACAAATCCTTGATATAGGGACAGCAAGTACCAGATGCTTGATTTGGTGGCTTTGGGGCTCGGTGCCATTGGGTTCCCAGCACTCAGTGCCTGTCCCCTGATCCACGGCTCCTTCCCATGCCCTGGGGCCAAAGTATGAGCTGGCTGCAAACCAGGCTCAGCCTGTGCCAGGGGACTCTGCCAAGCCCAGGGGCATTTGGGAAGTTATTCAAAAGTTAATTAACTATGGCTGAAAAAAGGACCTGGGCTCGTGGTGGTTAGCCTTGCTCCCAACTCCTCTTCTCGAGTCCCCTCATCTCGCCTTACCTCCTGTCTTGTCTTGCCTTTTGTTTCGCCCCTTCTGGTGTCCCCTTCTGTCCTCCCCTCATCACATCTCACCTTTCATCTTGCCCTATCTGGTGTCCCCTTCTGAAATCCCTGTCTGGTGTCATCTCATCTCACTTCTTATTGACCCCCTTCTGGTGTCCTATTCCGGCACCCCCTTCTCCCATTGCCTTCTCATCTCCCTTTGTCTCATCTAGCCTTTTGTCTCACCTCTTTTGCTATCCTCTTCTGGCCTCCCCTTACCTCGTCTCGCTTCTTGTCTTGCCCCTTCTGGCTTTTTTTGTATTCCAGCAATACCAGAAGACATTCATTTTGTATTTTTTGTCACTGATGACACACTCCCTGGAGGTTCTCTCAGTCAGAAGGCAGTATCCAGAGATGCTGGAGGAATACGCTCTGAGGCACGTGATTTGATGTCCAGGAGCTGACCTTGATGCCCCTTGTCTCGTCTGAAGCTTCTCTCCTCCTACCCTGTGGGTTTTGTGACCCAGCAGGGACACACACACAGCAGCAGTGGGAACCCAGAGTCCTTTCAGAGGAGATCCAATTCTGTCATGGCCTACTAACGGGGCAAAAAAGGTGACTCTCACATCCAGCGTGTTCTGATGGTAATAATGAAACTTAATGGTACATGATTGCATGACTTGCACAAGGGGCAATGGGAAGGGAAGAGAAAGAAACTGATGGGAGACGCCACAAGGTAATGGAAGAGAAAGGAGACCAGGAGGAGACACCCCATGGGAAGGGAAGGGATGGAAATGGGAGAGATGACATAAGGGAAGGGAAGGCATGGGAAGGAAATTGTGGGGAAATGCTGTATAGGAAGGGAAGGGGACAGGGGAAATCGTGTAAGGGAAGAGAAGGGAATGGGATTGGGACTGGGAGAATTTGCCACATGGGAAGGGAAGGAAACCAGGGTGAGACATTACAAGGAAAGGGGACCAGGGGGAAACACTGGAACGAAAGGGAAGGTGACCAGTATGAGATGCCGCGAGGGAAGAGAAGGAAAGGAAACCGGGATGAGATGATGCAAGGGAAGGGAAGGAGACCAAAGGGAGATGTGGGAAGGGGACTGGGGGGAAACGCCGCAAGGGAGGGGAAGGGAAGGAAACTGGTGGGAGATGCTGCAAGGTAACGGCAGGGGACGGGAACGGGGCAGGGGAGAGACGCCGCAAGGGAGCTGAAGGGAAGGGGAGCGAGAAGAGAGCCGGCGGCGCCGGCGCTGACCAATGAGAGGGAGGCCGAGGGCGCGGCGGTGCCGGCGCTGACCAATGAGAGGCCGGGCCTTCGCCATCGCCCCGCGCTGATGGCCGCCGGCTCAGCCTGCGTGCCACCGTTCCCCACGGCTGAAGCAGCGGCCGGGCGAGGCTCAGAGCTGGCGGGCCTCTGCCCGGAGGGACCGCGTGCAGCACGGCAGGGTTTGTCTGCTCAGTGTGCGAGGTCGGGAAAACTCGCAGGCTGTGGCTCCAGGGCGGGCAGAGGAAGTCACAGCGCCGGTGACAGCCGGGCTGCTGGAACCCGCGTGCTGTCACGCTGCATTTCCATGAGGACGGCGGGCCCTCCCCGAGGAGCCGAGGGCAGCTTTGCTGCTGTGTTCGTTACCCGATGAAGCCCATTGCAGGGGGGCTGGGCAGGCAGTCTTGCTAAAGAGGCCCGTGCTACAGCAGGATTGACAGCACGACTCCTTTCGTTCCCCTTGAGCCCTGGCCAGGCTGCGGGGAGAAAGCGGGCAGCGGCTGTTCCCCCGGACTGCTCTGTACATTGATTTATTCCGTGCTAGAAAGGCTGGAGCTGCTTGCAGCAGCTCTGGATGCCTCACCCGTGGGATGGATGCATTGCTGTGCAACTTCCCCATGGCTGGGAGAGGTTCTCCCGATCCTCATTGCAAATGGGGCTCCCCAGTGACTGTGGGTCTGGGTGATGGTAAAGAACTGGGGCAATTGGTGATGCACCTGAGCTCATGTGGCAGTGAGGGATCAGGAGGGGGCAGAAAGGTGGACCCCGGGGGTCAGAACGAGGGAGGCACAGACAGGAGGGATGGAAGAGGACTACAGTGATCAGAATGGGGGAACTGGAAGGGGAAAAAAGGGGAGGGGAGGCGCAACCCTGGGGGTCACACAGAGGGACGGGGGAGGTTGTGGGCGACCAGTGGCAGGGGGAGGGGAGGAGGGCAGTGAAACACACGGGGTGGGGGAGGCGGGGAGACACAGGGCAGCCGCCC